TTTGTTTCCATGTGCTCTTCGCTGTTTCATATTTACTCTCACATGGTCTGATATTGTCAGTCTGTGTTCTTGGTTTCCATGGTAACTTGTCTTTTTTTCAAGACATCTTTTTCACTGAATTTTTTGTAGATAATGTAGTAATAAAAACAAAGTAAAATAATACTTAACCAGTGGAGGCGCTGTGTATTTAGTTTCTACATTTTTAAAAGCAACACATTTTGTCAAATACTACAACATTCTCATATGTCTTACCTGTTTATTCAGGGCTTTAGAAAAATATTTTTCTCAGTCAAATCAAGTCTTTTACTTTTCACATCAGGTATATGGATAAATCAGCATCACATGACCTTTGAACTCTAAATACTTTTGCTTCCATTATGTTGGTAACAGCTGTGTTGTATGGGTTTTATGTTATGGACATCACAACACAATAGTACATCTTATGTGTCAGGGGCATCACTATACAATAGTACATCTCATGTTAGGGGCATCTGAACCCAAAAGTACATCTTTTATGTCCAATTTCTGTGTTTAATAGTTCATACTCTCAGCAATATGTTGATTCATGTATATTGTGTTTGTTTTCGTTTACTCGTCTAATGGATTGTTTTGATAACATGTTTTGATGCATGATCATTCCCTGGCTTGTATGTTGGTGGTGCTGCTGCTGCTGTTGTTGTTGTTGTTGTTGTTGTTGTTGTTGTTGCTGCTGCTGCTGTTGAGTTTCCATGAGAAATAAGCAAGCGATAATATGGCAAGTTGAGATGTCTCCTGAGGCATGTTATGCTATGTCTGTTATTTTGATATGTGCTGGCATTTTTAGAATTTATTACACCAAATGGTGATGAAGCAATTATGTTACGGGATATATAGCTTCCCTTTTGTCTCATTTATTTGGATTTATGAAGGCATATAATTAGTTTGACTCTAACTGATCCTTTCCACATTGGTTTTAACCCCTTGCTGGTAGCATAAAAACTGGAATTATCAGTGCAATCAGAGTTAGGATCATATTCAATCTCATTATGGATGGGCACAGTAAATCTCACACATTGAGATTTTGCACATGTATTTCTTATATCCAATTGTTTATATTATTGTTAGGTTTGGTATTTTATTGTTAATAGCTGTGGAGGCCAATCTTACCATTGTGCTTGTATAAAGTTGTATTGGTGTGCTTTCTATATGGCTCTATATTTCTAGATCACTGTACATATATTGTTTTTTTAAGGTCCCATGACCTTGTGGGGGTCAAGTGCATTTTATAGAACGGAGTATAAGATTAGTTTCATCTCAAAGTGATTTTTTTTTAATATTACCTTTAAAGTTTTAGATGTGGTAACATTTGGAAACAATATGTAAGCCATGTTTGTGGGTATTATATGTATTTGCTTTGGTGTTAATATAATAAAAAGGAAAATCTTTGTTTTTCTGTTCTGTTATTCCTTCTTCCTCTTCTTCTCACAAAAACTGTTCACAAATTCTGAAGCTTTTCAACATTGATACACAAAGTGAATCGTTTCCTTAAATGAAATTAAAAAGTCTTAAAAAGCATTGTATTGTACATTTCTAGCACCAGCATCTAATCGTTACTCTGCGTCCGATTTATACAATTACCGAAGTCCGGCCGGTCCTGTCAGTCCATCATCAAATCGTGACAAACAGGTAAGTGGTCAATCAGTGTATCATCTTCCTTGTATTAACATAGGTCGTATCTTGTCTGAACTTTGTGTGATGTGACTGTGCCGCTTTGTAGCTGTCTCTCATGTACTGTTAGGCTGATTGCGCTTTATTCTTGTCTGACTCCTGGCAAACACAAAAAGGCTGTCGTTACATGTCCTTGTGCTAGAGGTGCATGTTTTGTCCTCTCTGTTCCTGTTTCTGTTAGATTTTGTTGGTATTTTCTCATCTTGAATCTTTTTGTACAACTTACCATTACATTGTTGCGAGTCATGCTACATTGTTGTTGGTTGCAAAATTGCCACTCTGCCCTCCTTTCCCATGATGTCCTGTGTTGATGTGGGTCACCATGGTAATGGATTCTGGTGGTTTCTATGCATGTAGAGGATCATTGAGGATGAAAAGA